CAGCTCTCACCAGTATGTATCAGCATATGAAGTTTGATAAAAATATCCTGAATGGTTTCTTTAAAACTGAACACTAATTTAAGAAAAGTGAGGTCAAGGTCAAAGGAAAGGTCAAGGTCAAAAAATGTTGATGCAGTTGCAAATCTCTTAGCAATATCTAACAGCATATGAAGTTTGATAAAAATATCTTGAATAGTTTCTTTGAAAATGAGCTTTGAACTGAGCTAAACGTAGAGCGCGACAGAAGGACAGACAGAAGGACGGAAGGATGGAAGGACAGAAGACGGACATGACAAACACAATATGCCCTGGCCATATTCATGGCATGGCTTAAAAATGAAATTTTCTCCAAATGCCTAGTAGATACCTGTATTTTTTTATCCTAAAATACATTTGCTGATCAATTTTCAATTACATGTAGAAAATGCATAACTGGTGCTTTTATTCACATTTCATGAATAAATATTTGAGATTTGATAATTTGTATTAATTTCCCTATATAATATGATAAACCATAATATAAATGAACTTTGAAGAAATACCATGGGTAAGTACACAATACTCTGTGAATTCAGAGACATTTTTGTGGGCATTTTCAATTTCTTTCGGATGATTTTCAGAACCTGAGAATCGGAGTACCTGAACAAAGATATGGCACAGAAAGGAATTAAACATTTTGCTGAGAGTGACCTTGAACATGTCCAAATGAACTTTTGTTAAGGTCATTTCAAACCCTCAGGTCATAAGTAATCTTTACGTGAAGTATGAATTTCTGATTTTTCTTCATTAGACAGTTATAGACCAGCGCAGAACAAATTATACAGTGTTTTTCCGACAGTGACCTTGAACTAGCCCAAATGACTTTAAATCAAGGTCAAGACACACCTACAGGGGCTTCAATAGGAAAGAACAAAAAAATTCTCTCTTTTTTGTTATAATATAGTAATACCATTTTTCAAATCCACACTCAATATTCAGAATTATGCATGCATGTTGGTGTAGTCTTTTTGTGTACCAAAATGTATTGAAAATGGACTATGTTGTATTTTGTAAAACAAACAGAAAGACTAAAAGACTGCTATTAATACAAACTAATCCCTAACATATTATCACATACGTCTGGTCTTGGACCAGTAGAGCTTAAAACAACAACAGGCTCATCGGCCATCATCAGTCACCAGAGTATAATGGATACTCTCTAGCTAGGATCAACTCTGCCCCACTTGGGCATTTTTAATATAAGATCAATTTGGCTCAACTCTGAGGACCATTTTTATCCCCCAGTAATTGAAGATTTTGAGGCATATATCTTTCAGTCTGTCCGTCCATGTCTGTTAATCTGTTTTCCCATAACATTTGAATTGTTGGTATTTGGGCTTTCATATTTCACATGAGTATTCCTTGCGACAAGACCTTTCTTTGGTTGACCTTGACTCTTGAGTTTGATTTTTTTAGAGAAAATTTTACCAAACTTTAACCTTGGCCATAACTTTTGAATGATTGGTGCTAGGGCTTTCATATTTCACATGAGTACTTCTTTCTTATCGTACAAACATTTTTTACCTTTTGATCTTGACTGTGGAGTTTGACATACTTTTGAAAAACTTTAAACTTGAACAGTTTGAACACTTTGGGTACCAACATTTTGACATCGACCTTTAAATTTGACCTACATTTGTAAAAACTTTAACCTTGTCTATAACTTATGAAAGGTTGGTGCTTGGGCTTTCATATTTCACTTAATATGTATTCCTTGTGAGAAGACCTTTCTTTGGGTACCACCATTTTTGAACTCTTTACCGTGACCTTGGGAGTTTGATTTACATTTAAAAACTTTAACTTTGGCCTTGAGCTGCCATATGGGGGCATCAGTGTTTCACAAACACATCTTGTTATATTTTGGTTAAAGAGTTTACAGCACTGTCATCATGCTTACAGTTCCCTTCTAAAATTCTTGTCTAGGACGATAAGATTTTCAAAAATAAAATGAATTTATAATGTATGACCATCTAATTAATCTTCTTCCTAGGACCTGGACTCAGGGAACACATTTTACAATTTTTCTTGAAGGCAAACTCTTTTACTATAATCAAGTTTGCTTGCTAGATGTCATGAGTAAAGAAGGAGATTTCATATCTCACACTGGAACATAATCCCTAAGGACCACTGAATTTTACAATTAACAAGCATTCTGAGAGTATTGCATTAGCAATACTAGTCCCCTACTGGCAAGTGTAATCTGGTTCCCGTTAAAAATTGAAAATGCCATAATTCCATCAAAAATCAATGAAGCCAAACAAAATGCAAACTTGATCTATAACTCATCAAGGTAAAGTCACATACCAATAATCAGCTCAATATCTGCAAGCGTTTAGAAAAAAAATTGCAGAAAACCCTGAAAAATTGAAAAGGTCGTAATTCCGTCAAAAATCATTGAAGCAGAACGAAATGCTAACTTGATCTGTAACTCATCAAGATATACTTATATATCAAAAATCAGGTCAATATCTGTAAGTGTTTGGAAAGAAGTGCGGAAAACCAAGTGGGACAGCCTGACAGACAGACTTAGGGACAGACAGACAGACGGATGGACAGACTCAGAGGAAACCTATAGTCCCCTCCAGTTTCACCGGTAGGAGACTAATAAGAACTATTGTCATGTATAATCATACAAACACTTTGTCTGCATTAGGTCTAACTGGGTCCAAATATAAAGATTTTCAGATTTTCTCTTCTTTTTTTTCATTTAACCAAATTTGCTCCACCTTGGGACCCAAACTTTGGACCACAGGGACATGAATTTTATTCTTTTGGTAGAAGATTTCTTCCTCATAATAATCATATAAAAAGTTTGCTTGCTACTTGTCCATTAACAAAGAAATTTTGAATGTGTAATCTATTTTCAAGTTATGATCAACTTAAAAACACCCCTAGGCCTGAATGCTGAATCTATGTGGAAATGAATTTTACAATTTTAAACATAAGTACTCATTGTAAAATGCAGTTTACATGCTAGGTTTCCATGAGCAAAGAAAAAAAATTAAAAGTATCATAATGTATTTCAATAAAATAACCAACTCAGTCCTACCCTGGCCAGGGGCTTGAATTCTTGACCGAGGGGCCAAGAATTTCACAATTTTTTCTAGATGTCAAGAGCTAACTGTTCATTTTCAGTCATGCAATTTTCCTAGAAATCCAACTATTACGCAGATTTTGAAAGGTGTAATTTATTTTCATTTATGTCCACTTTAGCCATACCTTGCAGTCTTTACCCATGTCCCAGGGCCAGGTATTTTATAATTTTTAGAGATTGAGTGCTAAGAGCTGATTAAACTCAAGCAAACAGCTCGATTACCTGCTGCTAGATGTCCAGAAGATTTGGTATTTTGATGCTTTGTACAGTTTTTTTATTAATTCAGACCAAATTCAGACCAATATGGTAAATACAGCTGAAACGAATGTTCGAATTTTCGCGAATGAGTAGTAAATGGCAAATATTCGGTATCATGATTTATACTTCAACGTTTACTTTGTTGATTAAATTATATCGGTACTTTAATGGTATTAATAAGGATTTAGCACTACTTTATCCTTTCGATGCTCCACATGAACTGTTGACTACCTCTCAGGATTTTATTAGTGTTAGAAAGTACCAGAAATATGATTAGAAATTTAAACGAAGATTTTTCTTTTTCTCAGTATAAATCCTGTTGATTATATGCTCAAGATATTTCATTTTCATATTGAGTGTAATTCACAACTACCAATTCATTACCGATCGTTTGCATCGCCCCCCTATTTCCATGCGTTTTTCTATCACAGGTGTCACTAAATCACAAATGTGTTTTAAATACCTGGTATTCTTTTAAAAAGAAATAATCCTAAAAACTAATTACTGACTTTAATTTCTTTTGAAACATGTTTATTTACAGACTAACCTCTTAAAATGTTATAAGCATGTTAAGTAATGTGAATACTCCGGTCAAGCACGTGGACTTTTGCATTTCCAACTTTTTCTACAGTATATGTCATTCTAACTATCAAACTGCGACTTTTCTGTATTTTCCATGTATAGATTTTTCTAAATTTTAGCATGTCAAGATAGTTTCCTATCTTAGAACGTAAATTTACACATTTTCCCACCAACCTAGCCTTGCGTGATATAATAAGATCTATACTGTAAATAGGGCGAGATCTGCACCACCGAAAAATATCGCTGTTTTCCATTTTCTTTGAGGAGAAGCTTTAACAATGGGCAGTTTAACGTCAATTAACTATATCATTATAAATTTTATTACTATATACGTATACAAATTTTCTTTGGTCTGCAAACTGTATAGGTATTATAAAATTTTTAATTAGAAAGTTTTATCTTTATATATAACATTGACAAATATTCTAATACAAATAGAATAGTAGTCCGAATATTCCAATGTTGATTTCTGGTATTCGTTTAAGCTCTATAATATGGTAAAAGTATTAAATAATTTACTTTTAATTGAAAATTCTTACTGTATACAAGGTTATTTTTCTCTTTAGCCTTTCAGTTACCATGATTACTGCTGTTGTCTTTGAATTTGCCCCATTTTAAATACCCCTCCCCCTTGCAACAAGGACTGAAGGGGCAAAAATAAAATGAGGGCAAACATTTCACTGTATATAGCATTCACTAATTAAATTCTATAAATGTTTCTTGATGTCTTCTAAACTTGCACTTTATTTTAACTAATTCAACGAAAAACTGTACGCATGATGTATATTTTTTAAAATTATTAAAAATATAACATTTCTTTATAATTAGTACAAAGCATAACCTTCAACATAAAAAAATTCAATAAAAAGAATTATGTAATATCTGTATCAAATCTAATTGTGTCCCAATTTTGTTGAATTTAGATAAAAACCATAGGCAGAGTATCAATGTAGATAACTGCTTACAGATACTCAAACATTCTTCTGATCTAACAATCTAAGTTGACCCAGTAAATAACAACAGACTATATGTTGAAAATCAACTTTAATTAAACTCAGAACAAATTTCTGTAATAAATATCTTTAAAGGAAAACAACAACAAGGACAGGGGTGAATAAAAATCACATCTCTCATTTACAACAAAAAAGAAGTAGACATTCTGATTAGCTGGATTACTTAATTACATATTCTAGTTGACAGATGCTGGTTAACTAAAGAACTTAAGTATGGATTCTGGATGACTGGAATACTTATAACTATGGATTCTGGTAATCTTGAGTACTTAATAACAGATTCTTGATGACTGGAGTACTTAACTACAGATTCTGGTTAGCAAGAGTGATTACATGTAACTATAAATTTTGGTTGTCTGGAATACTAAACTACCTTGCAGATTCTGGATGACTGGAGCACTTAACTACAAATTCTGGTTGACTGAAATACTTAACTATAGATTCAGGTTGATTGGAGTTCCTAACTACAGATTCTGGTCAACAAGAGTTCTAAACTACAAATTCTGCTTGTATGGAATACTTAACTACAGATTTGGATTGATTGTAACATTTAAGTACAGATTCTGGTTAACTGGCATTCTTAACTATAGACTCTGGATGACTGGATAACCTAACTACAACTTCTAGTTACCTGGAGTGTTTAGCTATACTTCTAGTTACCTGGAGTGTTTAGCTATACTTCTAGTTACCTGGAGTGTTTAGCTATACAGATTATGGTTGATTGGAGTTCTTAAGCACTAAATAGTAATTGGCATATCTAACATGTAACGTCTGGTTTTGAGATACAGATTATAGTTAACTCGATCTCTTAATGATTGGTTTCTACTGAACAGGTATTCATAACCACAGGCTACCTTTTATTTCTTTCTTATTAAGTCTTTATAACGGTGGCTACAAGGCCTTAAGAGCAGTTTCTCAAGAAATGCAATATTAAAGACTACAAGCAGAGTTTTGCGAAATAATAAAACTGAACTCTAAATCTCAAAAATAGAAATAATTTGGCACATCACATTTCTCTCACATATTAAGATTTTTTTGTGCTTTAAGATGCCCATTCAGACTGGGGCCTTCCTTATTTGTCATAACTTAATCTTTCTACATCACATTTATGAACAGGGACAAATCAGCAACATCCTGATTAACATTTCTCGGTTTCTTCTGTAATCTCGGCCATGGCTTCTTTGTCTTTTAGTGCCTTCATATAATGCCAAGTTTCTCTTAACAATTTTCTTTTCTGAAAGTGAAATTTTCAAATGAAAATGGGTCAACATAATCAAATATAATCAAAAGTCAAAAATATATACCAGAAAAATTACATCATTGGAATATGTCATCTCAAGGTTTCTTAATGAACTAGAATTTTCAGACATCTAGATGCTATAAAATGAATTAAAAACAATGTGTTCAGCAAAATATTGAGTAAGATTTTCATAACTAATAGTTTTCCCCTCAAAAAACAAACACAGCAAAATGTCATTAGCTCAAACCTAAAATTTTTGTTTATAACAACAAGAGGCCCATGGGCCTTAATGGTCACCTCTGTGAATAATCAAAGAGGAATAACTTTTCTCAATGTAAAGTAAAAATTTCCTTACATATCAGGCTCCTGATCCCCTATTGTAGCCTCAACCTATTCCCGAGGAGACTTGATCTGAACAAACCCGAATCTACACTTCCTGAGGGTGCTTCAATATATCAATATGACATATACCACTTTGCTGTTCATTAGAGGAAGATTTTAAAGATTTTTTCCCTATAAATGTCTATGTAAAACTTTGATCACCTATTGTGGCTCCATCCTACACCCAGAGGGTCATCATATATGAAACAAATTTGAATCTATATTACCTGAGGATGATACCATATAACTAATCATGGATTTCCTGTTCTTGAGAAAAGGACTTTTTCCTATATATTCCTCTTTGTAAAAGTTTGCCCCCTATTCATGATTTGAACAAACTTGAATCTACACTACTTGAGGATTCTTTCATATTAATATGACTTATCAGGGCTCTAATTGGCAATTAATTTAGTTGCCATAGTGCCTTAATTTTTTTTTATAGGTGCCTGAAAATTTTTTATAAGTTGCCAAATTGGCGAACATTTTAAATTGGCTTGGTGATCGCTGTATTCTGCAACTTTTAACATTTTCAACCATTTTTTTTTCTGAAGAGGAAAAAAGAAATTTAAAAGCAGAGAAAAATTATTTTTTGCAATGGAAGTATCGTGTTTTCTTTGTCACCTTGTTTTTTTTCAGTAAGCACACGTGAGAACAAAATTTTGCGTCGTGTCAGTGCACTCAGAGCTCAGGTAGACTAGATAAGACATTAGCTGTCCAAGGTAAGTGTTGGCTTCAGAAAATCGATAATTATGGAATGCATTAAATTAGACAGGTAATTTTTTGCCAATTAAGTTCTCACTCATTAGAGATACCATCTACATATTAGTGTTAGGTCATCTTTATACGGACGAGAATCTTAATCATGTAAACATTCCTCTATATTATTATACTTTTAAAGAATATTTCATTCGATCCAGGTTTTCTTAAAAAGAAATTTTAATTTACAAATCGATTTACAAATTTTGAATATTAGAGTTTTACATGCATGCTTAAGTTAAAGGTTGCATTTAATTGACTAATATTTCATGCTAATTTTTTCTTTACAATTTTTAAATAGATTTATATTCATTACATGTGGAAAGTTAAAAGATGGGGGAGGGGTGGTTTCAATCAAATATGAATGTTTGAATAGCAGCACAGGGAGAAGGGAGGGTTGGGGGCACATACTCTTGTCACAACCCCTTTCAGAAGCAGAAGGGGCACTAGACATTCCCCTTCTGTGACTACCCCCTCATGAGAACCTATATTGATTACAATCAACTTTTAAAGTTGGCGCCTAAAATAAATTGCCTGGTGACTAAAAATTTGCAATGGTGACTACATTTTTTTTGACAAGGAGCCAGCTGGCGCCTTAATTTTTGAGGTCACTTAGAGAGGCACCTGCTTATCAGTAAATATGGCTTTGCTGTTCTAGAGATGTTGTGGAGACAACTTATGTAGGCAGTGCCTGCTGTCCAATTCTTGTATGTTTAATTCATGATAAAATATTGTTTCAATCAAAAAGATGTTTAAAGATTTTTTCCTTTATATTCCTAAAACATTGATCTCCTATTGTGGCCCCACCCTACTCCCAGGGGCACTGATTTGTATAAAATGCTTCCTGAGGATGCTTCCAGATAAATGACTAATAATGGCTTTGCTGTTCTTCAGGAGGAGATTTTTTTTAATACATTTTTTTTTTATATTCCTATGTACAATTTTTAACGCTTATTGCGGTCCCACCCTTATCCCGGGGTCATGATTTGAAAACTTGAATCTACACTATGTCAGGAAGCTTTTCAATAAGTTTCATCTTTTCTGGCCCTGTGGTTCTAGAGAAGAGATGCCTTGAAATTTTCACTTATTCTTAATTACATGAATTCCCCTTGAAAGAGGGTGTGGCCCTTCATTTGAACCAACATGAATCCCCTTTGCCCCAGGATATTTTTGTGACAATTTTGATTGAAATTCGCCGAGTGGTCTAGAGAAGATGTCAAAAATATTAAAAAAAATTACAGATTACAGACAACACATTGATGCTGGACACCATTTGATCAGAAAAGCTCACTTGAACCTTTGGCTCAGTATAGTAAAAAAGTTCATTTGTTTTTTTTCATTTTTTTCTAAACTAGTTGTCCAAAGAGTGCTGTATAGTACCAGTAGTGAAGAGGAATGTTATTAATTCTTTGACATATTAGTAGGTTAAAAAATTTAGTAAAAGTTAATACCTTGCCAATACCACTGTTATTCATCTTCTGCACTTCCATGCTTGTGAAAACAGCATCAAAGCACCACAAATCATGCTGATGTGACAAGACATGTTATTAAATGTTACAAGCACTGCTGTCTTATACTGCATAGATCGACAAAAAACTCACAGGCTTCAAATACAGATATCATAATGAATTAGACTTTTGAGCAGCTCACACAAGATCAGGTATTTTCAGGTGGTTTATTGTATATGCACAGGTGCTTCAAACAGCTGACACTGTAAGCTCAAATGTCAAAAGCTTGTACTGTAAGATTAACTTTTAGTAACCAGCTTACAATATAAGCTAAAGTATTGACAACAGTTAACTTCAAACTTCAGTGATGCTGAGTGCATAAAGCCCCATGTAATACTAAGCTCTCCACTGTCTGTACCTGTGCACTTCTACAGTAACTTTTGCATACATGCTGCTAAATTTGCATTTTTCCCACAGCTTCAATGAACAAAATGTATCATTCACGTCTTTAATAAATGTCAGAATTTAGCTCAAGTTTTGAAATACTTGTGCAAGTTGAGGATTGAGCTTATGACTGTGATACACTGGTGATTATGAGGAGTTGTAGTTATGATACTGATGATTCAATAGTGATAATGAGGATATAATGGTGATTATGAGGATTACTTATAATACTGATATAAAGGTGATTATTAGGGTTTTACTTATACTGATATAATGGTGATTATGAGGGTTTTACTATAATACTGATATAATGGTGATTATAAGGCCAACTTTAAAATAATGTTTGTTTACTCTCTCCAGACTCAGGATGAAAAATTTTGATCAGTAGGTAGGTGGAGAATTTTTTTCCCAGAAATTTTCAACATCAATGCTGAATTTTCAAAATCTATTATACAGAATGCATAAAAAACAATAATTGTTTCCTGAAGGCTAAAAAAAGTTTTGAGTCGGGCCATTTTTCAACAGTCAGTCGGGAGAGGGCAACCAAACAATTTTTTAAAGATGGCCTAAAGATTTTACTTATAGCACTGATACAATGGTGATTTTGAGGATTTTATTAATAATACTGATATAATGGTGATTATGAGGATTTTACTTATAATACTGATATAAAGGTGATTATGAGGATTTTTCTTATAATACTGATATAATGGTGATAATGAGGATTTTTCTTATAATACTGATATAATGGTGATTATGAGGGTTTTACTATAAAACTGATATAATGGTGATTATGAGGATTTTACTATAGTACTGATATAATGGTGATTTTGATGATTTTACTTATAATACTGATATAATGGTGATTATGAGGATTTTACTTATAATACTGATATAATGGTGATTATGAGGATTTTACTATAGTACTGATATAATGGTGATTTTGTGGATTTTACTTATAATACTGATCTAATGGTGATCTTGAAGATTTTTCTTATAATACTGATATAATGGTGATTATGAGGATTTTACTATAATACTGATATAATGGTGATTATGAGGATTTTACTATAATACGGATATAATGGTGATTACGAGGATTTTACTATAATACGGATATAATGGTGATTACGAGGATATAATGGTGATTATGAGGATTTTACTTATAATACTGATATATATGGTGATTATGAGGATTTTACTTATAATACTGATATAATGGTGATTATGAAGATTTTACTTATAATACTAATATAATGGTGATTATGAGGATTTTACTTATAATACTGATATAATGGTGATTATGAGGATTTTACTTATAATACTCATATAAATATGATTATGAAGATTTTACTTACGATACTGATATAATGGTAATTATGAGGATTTTACTATAATACTGATATAATGGTGATTTCGAGGATTTTTCTTACAATACTGATATAACGGTGATCTTGAGGATTTTACTATAATACTGATATAATGGTGATTACGAGGGTTGTACTTATGACAATTATTCAATGGTGGTTACTTCAAGTCATTCACTTTTCATGCTACATTTCATTAAGTTTCCTTCACTTTATCTGGAATGAGCATGTTGCTGTATTACTGTACTATTTAAGATAAGGTTATATAGTGCTAGGTTCTTTTACTCAGTAAGTCCCACTACATTGTAAGATAACTTTAAAGTTTTAGAAATCTAAAGCAAAACCTTAATTTGGTTTAAATATGAACATTTTTTGGTATTTACAAGCAGTTCAAGTCAATCCTTACCTCTATGTTACCCCTCCAGCGGTCTGCAGCATTTCTGGCCAGCTCTAATTCCTTGTCCTTCAGGCCTCTGTGTCTTTTATAAGCTATCTCAATCACAATCAAAATAATGCCAGCAATGATGCCCCCTGCTACCATCAAAAACACACCTAGAATCATACAGGGGGAAAATATAGGAAATTCTCCAAATAAATACTAAACAATTAAAGAACAATACAGTCATCTACAGAATAGAAATATTAGACATACAGTCAAACCTCGTTATCTTGAACTCTGTGGGACCGTGAAAAATTTCAAGATATCCGAGGATTCAAGATATCAATAGTAAAATACTAAAGGAATATGTGGTTGGGACTTCCAAATCACTTCAACATATCCATGGTGTTCGAGATATCGGTGTTCGAGATACCGAAGTTCAACTGTATTTAAGAAAGAGGATTGGTCCTAACTCTCAACTAGCATACATCTCCACTGGTTTGTGCATGCTTTTAAGTAAATGTATGGTTGAAATGATCACATACTGGCCATGTTAGTCAATCCCAGTGTGGCAGGTGTTGTATCTTTCTCAGGACAATCATTTCTTCCCTCTAAAATCCATTTATTGTCTAGATCCTCCATATTTCCCTCTATAATGAGGTAAGATGCATGAGTTTTTTTCAAAAGCATAAAATACTTAACAAAATTGTTTGAAAATCTTAAGTATTAGGACTTGAATAATATTCTGATACATCAATGATACAAGGTTCTATGATGTGTATCAATACACAGAGTCTAGTATCAAACATTTCCTAACTGCATGATTTTAATTATGGTTCAGTCAAACAGAATGCATCTATGAAGTTTTTATTTTGCTAAATCACAAATTTAATATACCTTCTCCTACATAACATCACTTTTAATTGATATTAATCAGCATTTCTTCTGGTGCTTGCTAGTTAAGAAGACAATTTTAAATAATGCACTTTTTCTTTTTTGCCAATTTGGCCTCATCTCAAAGATCCCTTAGGAGTGGGGCTCATAAAATTCAAAATTTTTGTAGTCCATCATTTATAGAATCTCCACAATAAGTTTGGTTTAAATTGGCCAAGTAGTTTCATCAGAGAAGTTGAAAATGTTCAAAAGTTAACAATCAAGAGACCCCTGGGCCACAAGGCCCTGCTGTTCTTCATCAGAAGATTCATTCACTTTATATTCCTTTGTAAAACTTGGATCACCTATTGTGACCCTACCTTACCCCCAGGGTCATGATTTGAATGAACCTGAATTTACACTATCTGAGGCTGCTTCAATATCAATATGACTAATCAAGCCTTTGATATTCTTGAAAAGAAGATTTTTAAAGATTGATTCCTACATTTGTAAATTTTGTTTGTAAAATTTTGATTGCCCATTGTGGCCCCACCCTACCTCTGGAAGTTATGATTTGAACAAACTTATCTACACTATGTAATGAAGCTTCATGTAGGTTTCATCTTTTCTGGCCCAGTGGTTCTTGAGAAGAAGATTTTTGAAAGATGCCATTAAATTTTCTTGAATTCTTAACTATTTCCCCTAGAAAGAGGGTTTGGCCCTTCATTTGAACAAACTTGTATATTTCGTATGTATCCTAGAGTACCCATAAATCGTCCCCTTATGACATTCAACAAAATAGTAACGGCAAGCGCGTGCAAATTGATAAACAAACTTCAGTGCTAGCTATAGAATGGAAATGCTGATTAATTGTTAAAAGTCATTTTTTCATATCACGCTTGACAAGATTTTTAGAGCTCTTCTACAAAATCAAACTTTTACACTGAAAAATGTCACCCATACCCTATTTTCGTCCTTCGGGGGGGGGGGGGGGGGGGGGGGGGAGGGGGGGTGTTGAATTTTAAAAGCATTTTTTTTCCCATATTTTCATTTGTAAAAATTTGATCCCCCATTGTGGCCCCCACCCTACCCCCGTGGGCCTTCATTTGAACAAATTTCATTCTACACTACCCAAGGATGCCTCCATATCAATAATCAATTTGACTAATCATAGCTTTTCTGTTCTTGAGAAAAAGATTTTTTCCTATATATTCCTCTGTAAACTTTGATCACCCATTGTGACCCAACCCTACCCCTGGGGGTCATGATTTGAACAAACTTGAATCTACACTACCTGAGGATGCTTCCATATAAATATGACCAATCATGGCTTTGCTGTTCTTAAGAAGAAGATTTTTAAAGATATTTTCCTATATATTTCTATGTAAAACTTTGATCCCCCATTGTGGCCCAACCCTACCCTCTGGGGGTTATGATTTGAAGAAACTTGAATCAACACTACATGAAGATGCTTTCATATAAATATGACCAATCATGGCTTAGCTGATCTTGAGAAGAAGATTTTTAAAGATATTCTCCTACATATTTCTATGTTAAACTTTGATCCCTCATTGTGGCCCCATCCTACCCCTGGGGGTCATGATTTGAACAAATTTGAATCTACACTACCTGAGGATGCTTCAATATAAATATGATCAATCATGGCTTTCCTGTTCTTAAGAAGAAGGTTTTTAAAGATATTCTCCTATATATTTCTATGTAAAACTTTGATCCCCCATCGTGGCCCCACCCTACCCCCGGGGGTCATGATTTGAACAAACTTGAATCTTCACTACCTGAGGATGCTTCCACATAAGTTTCATCTTTCCTGGCCCAGTGGTTCTTGAGCAGAAGATTTTTAAATGATGCCATTATTTTTTCACTAATTCCTAATTATCTCCCCTTGAAAGAGGGTGTGGCCCTTCATTTGAACAAACATTAAATCCCCTTCACCCAAGGATACTTTGTGGCAAGTTTGGTTGAATTTGGCCCAGTGGTTCTTGAGAAGAAGTCAAAAATGTGAAAAGTTTACAGACAGATGGACAGACAGACAGCTAGACAGACAGACGGACTACAGACAAAATGTGATCAGAAAAGCTCACTTGAGCCTTCGGCTCAGGTGAGCTAAAAAAACAAAACAAAACAGAAAACTTTAATATAATGGTTGGGGTTAAGATGTAGACTTGAAAGACTTGAATTGATCACCTAATTATAATGTGTAAAATATTTACATTACAGGAAAAAAAATTTATCTACTCTGCAGTAGATGAGAAATTAATTAAAGAGTGGCAGTAAAGATCTCTTTTTACTTGATTATCAATATATTGTTGTGAATTTCATACCCAGTAGACGACCACTGAGTTAGTTATGCTTCAATGCACATGGCACCTGTGAAACTGGTAAAAATTGTGACAAAATACACCTTCTTTGGTTGACTAAATAAAATGACTGTTTACTGAAATAAAGTCTCGGTTCATAAAAATAAAATATTCTCTTCTTCATTACTTGGCTTCTTTTCGATTTTTTTGCGGGGGGGATATTGATCAGGACTGGCGACTGAGCAAAGTGATTATTATTGCTTGGGCATGTTGAAAGATTGATTTATTTAACAGGGAGGGGGGATGATAAATTCTTATGTACGATAAATATTGATTTTATTTATTTGTCATTTTAATAACATATTCCTGGAGGGAAAAAAAATCTCAATTATATACAACTTATAAAAAACAAAAAAATGAAAGAAAAACCACCAGCATGAAATAAAATGTTTTAATTTGTAGGACCAACAGATATTCTATTGTTGGAAGCATTCACAGTTATTAGTCAAAGTTACAGATAAAATCTTTGATTTTTGGAGACTCTATCATTTACAGTGATGGCTTAGATTTTTTTCTGAAATAATTTGTAATACCCGTATGGCCGCGCAGTACGTCAACCAAACACGGTAACGTCAATATCTAGGTGGAAAGTGTATAAGATCCTTATGATCTGGGGGCATTAAATTTTTGTTTTCAAATTCTTAAATTAAAAGCCCATGCATGTAATTCAATACATAGACAGGCATAAAATAATAAAATGAAGGTAAATTTGATCTGGAAGTGATTTTTGGAGACGTAACTGCCGTGTACACCTTCAATACAAAATGGACCTCAGGAAAAAACAGATAGTTTAAGGATTTTTATTTTCTTTAATTTTACTACTAGTTTAAACTGTATATTCTAAAAAATAATTGCTAATACATTTGCATCATTGTGTTTACCAGTTATAACAATTAAACATAGGTAATCAGAGATCACAGAGCTCACCTCAACGAATGTTGCCTTTAAGTAAGGCAAAGTCCCACACTAAACTAATAATCTAGGAGTGTGCATCCCTAGATGCAACATTTATGCGATTTTGGTCTGATAGGGCTTGCAGTTACTTGGTAATAGACTTATTTGAAAACTTAAAACTAGTCACTCATCCAGAAAATGTAAGTCAAATCCAGCATCCGAAGCAAGTTTGAGATTGTTCGTCCCTTGATGCATCATCCATGCAAGTTTTGATCAGATAGGCCTTATAGTTACTTGGAAATGAGATCTGCTCCAAAAATTTTAATCTGGTTACTCATCCGGAAAATGTAGGTCAGATCCAGCAACCGAAGCAAGTCCAGTAGTGTACATCCTTAGCTGTATCATCCATGCAAGTTTGGTCAATATAGGGTTTATAGTTACTTGGAAATGACATCTGCTCCAAAAACTTTAACCTGGTCACTCATCCAGAAAATATAGGTCAGATCCAGCATCCGAAGCAAGTACAGTAGTGTACATCCTTAGATGTATCATCCATGCAAGTTTGGTCAATATAGGGTTTATAGATACTTGGAAATGAGATCTGCTCCAAAAACCTTAACCTGGTCACTCATCCAGAAAATATAGGTCAGATCTAGTATCCGAAGCAAGTCCAGTAGTGTGCATCCTTAAATGTATCATCCATGCAAGTTTGGTCAATATAGGGCTTATAGTTACTTGGAAATGAGATCTGCTCCAAAAACCTTAACCTGGTCACTCATCCGGAAAATGTAGGTCAGATCCAGCATCTGAAGCAAGTTCAGTAGTGTGCATCCTTAGATGTATCATCCATGCAAGTTTGGTCAATATAGGGCTTATAGTTACTTGGAAATGAGATCTGCTCCAAAAACCTTAACCTGGTCACTCATCCGGAAAATGTAGGTCAGATCCAGCATCCCAAGCAAGTTCAGTAGTGTGCATCCTTAGATATATCATCCATGCAAGTTTGGTCAATATAGGGCTTATAGTTACTTGAAAATGAGACCTGCTCCAAAAACTTTAACCTGCTCCAAAAACTTTAACCTGCTCCAAAAACTTTAACCTGCTCCAAAAACATTAACCTGGTCATTCTTCAGCTGAAATTGCAGCATCTGAAACCTTGACTGGTACAATGAAACACACTAGAAGCATCCTCCATGCATCTCTGACTAATATAGGCCATAGAAGTACTTGAAAAGAAAACTGCTCCAAAAACCTCAGGGATCGACATTAACGGTTGTCCGATTGCCCGGGGCAAGTAAATTCTCAGTACGGGCAAGTGAAACTGCTGATGTACTTGTCCGATCGGGCAAGTGAATATTTGATAGATTTTTTAAATCTTACATTAGTTTATAAACAAAACAATAATTTGAACATTTGATTTCTACCAGGAATATATGACATTCTTTTTGTAGACGGAAATTCCTCAGTAGCGCCGTTATTCAAAAATCGGGTTCGTTATTCCATTTTTCTTTCTGGGTAGTTGACAAAACTGACTTCTTAACATTCTTATTATGAAATATGATATTTAAAAATAGCTCATTTATTTACTCACAGAACATAAAGAAAACCAGTTATTCTCGGCACACGATGTATTCTGATTAGGATAATCAGTGTGAGTTTACAAGTATTTAAAATGTAGCATCACCTGCACATCAAGATATTTTTCTGGCACTTAACTTGCCAAATATAAAAAAAAAATATCTCACTTTATTTACAATAATAAATTAAGTTATCGGTTTCCCTTCTTTCTAAATTTTGGGCAACCAAGTTTTGTATTCGGACAAGTCAAAGTTTGAGTTCACTTGCCCAAAGGGCAAGTGAATCTTTAAGTTGATGTCTATCCCTGAACCTTAACCTGGGACGCCGACGCCGAGGGTATTACATAAGCTCCCCCAACTTCGTTGAGGTGAGCTAAAAATGACGTCATCGATACATAGTTCGAAACGTGCGGTCTGCGTGAAGCTTGAGGACAATTTTAGGATACGGATGAATTTAGGGTATACAACGATAAAATTTTGGTCATCCACTGTTGCCTAACTCTACCCCTGGGGGGTCAAGATTTGAACAAACTTTAATCTACACTACCTAAGGATGCTACCATGTAAATATGACCAATCATGGCTTTGCTGTTCTTGAGAAGAAGATTTTTAAAGATTTTTCCTATATATTCCTATGTAAAACTTTGATCGCCCATCGTGGCCCCACCCTACCCCTGGGGGTCATGATTTGAACAAACTTGAATCTCCACTACCTGAGGATGCTACCATGTAAATATGACCAACCATGGCTTTGCTGTTCTTGAGAAGAAGATTTTTCCTATATATTCCTGTGTAAAACTTTGATCACCCATTGTGGCCCCGACCGACCCCCAGGGGTCACGATTTGAACAAATTTGAATCTACAGTACCTGAGGATGCTACCATGTAAATATGACCAATCATGGCTTTGCTGTTCTTGAGAAGAAGATTTTTAAAGATTTTTCCTATATATTCCTATGTAAAACTTTGATCGCCCATTGTGGCCCCACCCAACCCCCGGGGGTCATGATTTGACACTACTTGAGGATGCTACCATGTAAATATGACCAATCATGGCTTTGCTGTTCTTGAGAAGAAGATTTTTAAAGATTTTTCCTATATATTCCTATGTAAAACTTTGATCGCCCATTGTGGCCCCACCTGACCCCTGGGGGTCATGATTTGAATAAACTTTAATCTACACTACCTGAGGATGCTACCATGTAAATATGACCAATTATGGCTTTGCTGTTCTTGAGAAGAAGATTTTTAAAGATTTTTCCTATATATTCCTATGTAAAACTTTGATCGCCCATTGTGGCCCCACCCGACCCCCGGGGGTCATGATTTGAACAAACTTTAATCTACACTACCTGAGGATGCTACCATGTAAATATACCAATTATGGCTTTGCTGTTCTTGAGAAGAAGATTTTTAAAGATTTTTCCTATATATTCCTATGTAAAACTTTGATCGCCCATTGTGGCCCCTCCCGACCCCCGGGGGTCATGATTTGAACAAACTTTAATCTACACTACCTGAGGATGCTTCTACATAAGTTTCATATTTTCAAGCACAGTGGTTCTTGAGAAGAAGATTTTTTAATGATGCCATTAATTTTTCACGAATTCATAATTATCTCCCCTTGGAAGAGGGTGTGGCCCTTCATTTGAACAAACTTGAATCCCCTTTACCCAAGGATACTTTGTGACAAGTTTGGTTGAAATTGGCCCAGTGGGTCTGGAGAAGAAGTCGAAAATGTGAAAAGGTTACAGACGGACAGCTAGACAGACAGACAGACAGATGGACTACAGACAAAATGTGATCAGAAAAGCTCACTTGAGCCTTCGGCTCAGGTGAGCTAAAAATCAGACGTCATCAACATTCTTATTTCAGGAGGAAAATTGATGAATATAAAGCTGCTAATTGTGAATAATACACAGTGTGCATCTTAATAGGATATGGACAAAAACCCGCTATCGCTAATACATAAAGGAAAATTAAATAAATGTTGAATTTTCATACTTTAAAGGAAGAGTATCATCGACACAGTTTTTGGGGTCTTCGAAAATGTTTGATAGGAAGAAAACAGTAAAAATGAAAGTGCATTTAATAGTAGAACCAAACCAAGATCTTGTTCCGAAAAAGATCCAATAAAATTCTTACTCGCCATGTGGGCGATAACATCCTCAAGAGTTGGTGGCCCGCAGGCAAAATTACTCACATTTGCGAGAGGGTTAGTGGTTATTTGCAACCCTGAGTAAGGTTACATACTTTCATGTAGCTTGAGAATAGCCATCGAGATTTTGGAGGTCCATGGACTCTTTTTCTGCAGTCCCACACCCAGTCCTGACCGCCCAAACAAGTCCCCCACAGTTATGAGGTCACAGTTCTGTCCTGCTTCATATTCCAGCCGAGAGGAGTCCCAGATAAATGCCTGTAATTTCCTAAAATTAAGTATCAATAAAGACAATCTTAGAACAACTGACAATGATGATATAGATTATGGTTATATGTGTATCATCTAAAACTGCCTTTATGTCTCTGATATATACAACTAAAAATATGTCCTTAGGACATGAATGCCCTGCCCAGGGTTCATTAGTATTGTTACATGAAAATTTGTATAAGTGTATGAAGTTTGATGAAAATATCTTGAATAGTTTCTTTAAAACTGAGTTTTAAATACAGTAAATATTAAAGTCATTGGAAAAGTCAAGGTAAAAAAAATGAGCACAGTGGATGAATTCTCACCAAATTATGTATCAGTGCATAAGCTTACATAAAACTATGTTGAATAATTTCTTTGAAACAAAGCTAAATGAAAATTTTAGAAAAGTGAGGTCAAGGTCAGAGGAAAGGTCAAGATAAAAAAATGTTGATGCATTTCAATAGCACTCATCAAAATGTATCAGCAATAATGTTTTACAAAAATATCTTGATTTGTTTCTTTAAACTGAGCTAAACACAAATTTGAGAAAAGTGAAGTCAATTTCAAAGAAAAGGTAAAACAAGAAGTCTGCGAGCCAATGCTCACTAATAATACCCCGTCCTGATGTGAATACACAAGTTCAGTTATGGACAAACACAGTGATAATCAGGAAATTGACATTGGATTAGTAAAGATGAATCCCAACATATGGCATGCCTACACAAAAATTGTGTTAAGATTTCAAGCACCTGCAATGGGTAGTTGCTGAGAAAACTGCGACCAAAATTTGTTATGTATGGTACAGACAGATGCAGGGATAAACAGGAAGCTGACATTGGATTTGTACCAAAATGAATTCCATTATATAGCATGCCTAAACAAGATTGTGCTAAAAATTCAAGCATCTGCGATGAGTAGTTGCCAAGAAAACTACGACCAAAGTTTGTTATGTATGGTACGGACAGACACACAAATAAACAGGAAGTTGACATCAGATTCGTGCAAAAATGAATCCCACCATATGGCATGCCTAAACAAAGAGTGTGTTAAAATTTCAAGCACCTGGGATGAGTAGTTGCTGAGAAAACTACGAATAAAATGTTTGTTATGTATGGTACGGACAGATGCACAGATAAACAGGAAGTTGACATTGAATTCGTACAAAAATGAATCCCACCATATGGCATGCCTAAACAAAGATTGTGCTAAAATTTCAAGCATCTGGAATGAGTAGTTGCTGAGAAAACTACGACCAAAATTTGTTACGGACAGACAGACAGACACACAGATGGACAGACACACAAGGGTAAAACAGTATACCCCCCTCTCCTTCGGAGCGGGGGTATAAAAATGTTGATGAATTGAATAACTCTCATCAGTATGTATCAGCAAAAAAGAAGTCTGTGAGCCAATGCTCACTAATAATACCCCACGCTCTGATGTGAATACACAAGTTTAGTTACGGACAAACACAGTGATGATCAAGAAATTGACATCGGATTTGTACAAAATGAATCCCATTATACAGCATGCCTAAACAAAGATTGTGCTAAAATTTCAAGCCTCTGCGATGAGTAGTTGCTGAGAAAACTACAATCAAAATTTGTTATGTATGGTACGGACAGACGGACCGATAAACAGGAAGTTGACATAAGATTCATGCAAAAATGAATCCCAGAATATGGCATGCCTAAACAAAGATTGTGCTAAAATTTCAAGCATCTGGAATGAGTAGTTGCTGAGAAAACTACGACCAAAATTTGTTATGTATGGTACGGACAGACACACGAATAAACAGGAAGTTGACATCGGATTTGTACAAAAATGATGAATCCCAACATATGGCATGTCTAAACAAAGAGTGTGTTAAAATTTCAAGCACCTGGGATGAGTAGTTGCTGAGAAAACTACGAATAAAATGTTTGTTATGTATGGTACGGACAGATGCACGGATAAACAGGAAATTGACATCGGATTAGTACAAAAATGAATCCCACCATATGGCATGCCTAAACAAAGATTGTGCTAAAATATCAAGCATCTGCGATGAGTAGTTGCTGAGAAAACTGCGACCAAAATTTGTTATGTATGGTACGGACAGACACACGGATAAACAGGAAGTTGACATCGAATTCGTACAAAAATGAATCCCACCATATGACATGCCTAAACAAAGAGTGTGTTAAAATTTCAAGCATCTTGGATGAATAGTTGCTGAGAAAACTGCGACCAAAGTTTGTTATGTATGGTACGGACAGACGCACAGATAAACAGGAAGTTGATATCTGATTAGTACAACAAGAGGCCCAAGGGCCTAAACGGTCACCTGAGTACAATACAACAATTTAGAGGATCCATAAACTAAAAAATGAAGCTTTGTTGCCCAAAAGCAAGAAAAATAATATGATTAGCATCAACAAAATAATTGGTCTAGTATCTATCTGCCTATCTGACTTTCCAAGTCATTAAATCTATGAAAGTACATTTTCATTATACAATAAATTATCTTGCATAATTCTCTTATTCTATTAAGCTTTCAAATACATTATTTACATTGATTAATTATCAAAGGTGAATGGCAAAGGGGAATAACTTTGCTCAGCAGAATACAAGTTAATAGAGCCCTGGCCAGGACTAGAACATTTGACTAAATGGTCCAGGTGTTCAAAAATCTGGTAAAAATACCCTTGCATATTAAAACTTTTACTCTGTTTGCCTTGAACATCCCCAGAAGCATAGAAGATTTTCAAAGAAATGCATTTTCACCATAAAATTACATAAATAAAGCCCCATCCTTACCCAGAACATCTGACCCATTGGCCACGAACTCACAATTCTGGAAGAAGCACCCTTTCTCATTATAACTATACACTTGTTTCTTTACTTTATAACCAGTAGTAGAAAAAATATTTTGAAAGAAATTATGCATTTTCACTATATATAATCAATAGAGCTCTTTCCCCCTCACCAGAACCCCTGACCCAAAGGCCATGAGGCATTCTTCCTTATCATAACCATGCACTTCCTTTGTTTGAAAAATACCCAGGCGCACACAAGATTTTGAAAGAATTCATGCCAATTCCCTATCTAATCAATAAAGCCCCGCCCTAACACCAGAACCCCTTACCCAGAGGCCATTAAATTCATAATTTCTGAGGCAGCCATGCTCATCATAACTATGTACTTAGTTTATTTAATATCCAGGAGCAGAGAAGATTTTCAAAGAATTAATGCAATTTTACTATATAATCAATGGAGCCCATCCCTAACACCAGAACCCCTGACCCAAGGGCCATGAAACAATTTCTGAAAAGGCAGTCATGCTCACCATAACTATGTTCTTAGTTAGTTTATTTAATACCCAGGAGCAGAGAAAAAGATTTTCAAAGAATTAATGCAATTCTACTATATAATCAATAGAGCCCTGCCCTAACACCAGAACCCCTGACCCAAGGGCCATGAAATTCAAAATTTTGGAAGAGGCACTCTTGCTCATCATAACTAAGTACTAAATTAGTTCATTTAATAACCAGGAGCAGATAAGAAGATTTTCAAAGAATTAATGCATTTTAACTATATAATCAATAGAGCCCCACCCTAACACCAGAACCTCTGACCCTGGGGCCATGAAATTCACAATTTTGAAAGAGGCACTCTTGTTCTTCATAACTATGTACTTAATACCCAGGAGCAGAAAAAATTATTGCAATTCTACTATATAATCAATAGAGCCCTGCCCTAACACCAGAACCCCTGATCCTGGGGCCATGAAATTCAAAATTTTGAAAGAGGCACTCTAGCTCATCATAACTATATACTAAGTTAGTTTATCTAATACCCAGGAGCAGAGAAGAAGATTTTCAAAGAATTAATGCCTTTTCACTATATAATCAATAGAGCCCCACCCTAACACCAGAATCCCTGACCCTGGGGCCATGAAATTCATAATTTCAGAAGAGGCACTCTTGCTCATCATAAATATGTACTAACTTAGTTCATTTAATATCCAGGAGCAGATAAGAAGATTTTCAAAGAATTAATGCATCTTCACTATATAATCAATAGAGCCCCGCCCTAACACCAGAACCCCTGACCCAAGGGCCATGAAATTCAAAATTTTGGAAGAGGCACTCTTGCTCATCATAACTATGTACTAAATTAGTTCATTTAATACCCAGGAGCAGATAAGAAGATTTTCAAAGAATTAATGCATTTTAACTAATGTATATAATCAATAGAGACCCGCCCTAACACCAGAACCCCTGACCCTGGGGCCATGAAATTCACAATTTTGGAAGAGGCACTCTTGCTCATCATAAATATGTACTAAGTTACTTTATTTAATACCAAGGAGCAGAGAAGAAGATTTTCAAAGAATTAATACATTTTCACTATATACTCAATAGAGCCCTGCCCTAACACCAGAACCCCTGACCCAGGGGCCATGAAATTCACAATTTTGAAAGAGGCACTCTTGTTCTTCATAACTATATACTTAGTAAATTTATTTAATACCCAGGAGCAGAGAAGAAGATTTTCAAAGAAATAATGCACTTTCCCTATATGATCTATATAGCCCCACCCTAGCACCAGAACCCCTGACCCTGGGGCCATGAATTTCACAATTTTGGTAGAGGACTCAATGCTTATTACAATGATGCCAACAGTTTGACTGCTTGATGTCCAGGAGTAAAGAAGAAGATTTTTAAAGATTGCATTATTTTTGGTGGTTTTAGCCCCACCCCTCAGGCCCCAGGGGGGCAGGGACCATGGAATTCACAATTTTTGTTCCCCTTCACCCATAGGTGCTATATGCCAAATTTGGTTGAAATTGGTTAAGCGGTTTCAGAGAAGAAGCTAAAAATGTTCAAATGTTAACACACGACGCACACCGCACGACGCACGACGCACGCCGACGGACGAGAACGGATAGCAATAGGTCACCTGAGTGACTCAGGTGACCTAAAAATTACTCCCACCATATGGCATGCCTAAACAAAGATTGTGCTAAAATTTCAAGCATCTGCGAAGAGTAGTTGCTGAGAAAACTACAACCAAAATTTGTTTTGTATGGTACTGACAGATGCACGGATAAACAGGAAGTTGACATCAGATTCATACAAAAATGAATCCCACCATATGGCATGCCTAAACAAAGATTGTGCTAAAATTTCAAGTATCTGCAATGAGTAGTTGCTGAGAAAACTGCGACCAAAATTTGTTATAGACAGACAGACACACACACACAGCTATACAGACAGACACACAAGGGTAAAACAGTATACCCCCCTCTCCTTCGGAGCGGGGGTATAATAAGGTTTGATAAAAATATTTTGAATAGTTTCTTTGAAACTGACCTAAACACAAATTCTTGTAAAGAAAGGTCAAGGTCAAAAGAAAAGTCAGTCAAAAATTGTTGATGAAGTTGAATAGTACTCCCCAGTATGTATTAGGATAAGTTCAATAATGATACCTTGAATATTCTTTTTGAAATTTAGCTAAACAAATTTTTGAAAATTGAGGTCAGGGTCAAAGGAAAGGTCATTGTCAAAAAATGCTGATGCAGTTGAATAGCGCTCATCAGTATGTATCAGCATATAAGGTTTGATAAAAATATCTTGAATAGTTTCTTTGAAACTGATCTCTAACAAAAAGTGTGATGAAGGACAGATGGAAGGATGGAAAATGGCAAATGACAAACACTATATACCCTGATCATATTTAGGGCAGGGCATAAAAGTATCCCACCCCATAAAAAATTCAAAATTAAATAATAATGTTACATAATGTTATATTACATTGTTATCTTATGGAGTCATGCACATATGAGCCTATTTTAGCCCTAACCAGACCTAAGGAGCCATAATTTCAACAAGAGGCCCATGTGCTACAATACTAACCTGAGTCATCTTTGCCCTTTTATCGCAGATTAATGAAACTTGAGGTACTGTGAACAGAAACTATAGGTACTGTAAGCACTGAGCTCAGTAAATGATACTCCCTGCCTCCCATATGATTAAAATGGCAAAGTCCATGTTTTGCTCTGGGAGACCCGAAATAAATGCAGATCAAAAAGTAAAATAGGAGGTGCACAATGGCACTATGTAACAAAGATTCAGAGAAAATCTAATTAGATTTCATTCAGTGGTATAAAAGGAGTTGTGGATAAGAGATGGGTACCCCAAAGCATAACAGACGGACAGGCGGATGTAAAGACAGATGGAAGGACAGGTGGACGTACACCCCCATCACTATATACCCCCTTGCTTTTCAAGCGGGGGTATGAAAAGTTGTATACTGTAAATTCACATATTTTCATGGGGTGAAATTTTCAAGGTTTAAGGAAAATTCATTGATTTGTGGGGATTTGATTTTGTGGGTGAAGAAGTGCTGAGTCATTATATATTTGAAATTTTAAATTATGTGGAGGAAATGAATTCGAGGGTCTTTTCATACAACAAAAATTTACCCCCCACCAAAATTTTACAGTATTAGATTAATAAGGATGATTGCAGAAAGGTCAAATTTTGAACATCATTAAAAGTTTACAATTTCTTAATATTTTAGAAATTTAATATTTGCATCATTTACAACCGCAGTAGGTCTAAAAATATATATCCAATCCAGGCATCCATTTTTTATTTGTATCATCTCTCCGTAAGGTCACTGCACACCCTTTACCCACAGGCACTCTATGGGTGAAGTTAGAGCCAGATGGTACCAAGTGGAAAGAAAATTATATGCTCAGGACAAATGAAATCAGATGGACAGTGGGATGAAAAGAACAGAATGATCCCTATAGGGCCCTAGTAATGACTTACATGTTAACAATGTCTCTGATTGCCTCATCAGCTGTCTTATAATTTCGTGGTTCCATCTGACGATACATAGTGGACAGTTCCACTTGTCGTTTAAAGTACATTTCCACTGCACTATTTCTCACTGTTGCATACTTAAAATCTTCATTAGGGTTCCTCAGCTACAAACCATAATTAAAAAAGAAGCTAAATATCAAACAGCCTTGCTGACAGCTCTAAATTGCAGTCAAATAATACCTGAAGCCTTCTATAATTTACTGTCAAAGCCTAGGATAAAACACTATGGCCCAAACCCTGCTGTAGGGGCCATTATCACTGATCAATATTAAAATAACATTACTTACAAATTTTTTTACAATATTGCTCTTAATTTAAAATATCCAGCTTAATTTGTAGTACTTGGGTTATACTGTATAATTTGAACTTAAATCTGCAGAGTCTTCAACCAAGTTGAGCTAAAAATATGACTAATCATGACTTTGCTGTTTTTGAGAAGAAAATATTTAAAAATATTTTCAATGTATCCCTAATGTAAAACTTAAACTGCCCATTGTGGCCTCACTCTACCCCTGGGGGTTATTATTTGAACAAATCTGAATCTACACAGTCTGAGGATGCTTCATAAATATAACTAATCATATTTGCTGATTTTTATTTTACAGATGTTTTTTTAAAATTGCAGGTCTGTTTTATATTTAAACAAGAGGCTCAAGGGCCTTAACGGTCACCTGAGTATAATACAACACTGTCAAGGATCCATAGAAGTATAAAACAGAATCAACTGATAGACGAAGCAATGTTGTCCAAGAATTTCAAAAATCTGGTAAAAATACCCTTGCTTATTGCAGTGTGCTAGACCCAAACGATCTCCTTGAGATCATACTTGGTTTTCCCAAGCCTTAAAGGGATGATAATGAATGCAAACAAGAGGCCCAAGGGCCTTGAATTGCTCTTCTGATAAACTGTACAACCTATCACTTCTATTTGAAGCCTCTAAGTATCCTGTATATTTAGATAAACCCTTGAAATTTCATAGGTAGGTTATCATGACCTACATTTTAGATGAAACACTCTGAAAACCCAAGATATTCTCAGCCAATCAGTACCTGAGAGTTGGTCATGGTGACCTAATTATCACATGTCATTCTCTGAGGACCCAAGATGCATCAACTAAGTTTGATGATTCTAGGCCAATTGATACCTAAAATATTTTTAAAATTATAACCATAAAATTTCAAAAGTAGGTCACATTGACCTACTTTTCAGATGACATACTTTGAGGACCCAAGATGCATCAACTGACAAAGCTTGATGATTCTAAGCCAATCAGTTCCTGAAATATTTAATCTAAAGCCATAATTTTTTTTAAAGTAGGACATGGTGACCTACTTTTCAGTTGACTTACTCCGAAGACCCAAGATGCATCAACTGACAAAGTTTGATGATTCTAAGCCAATTAGTACCCGAAATATTTAATTATAGTCATATAAATTGAAAAGTAGGTCACGGTGACCTACTTTTCAGTAGACCTACTCCGAGGACCCAAGATGCATCAACTGACAAATTTTGCTGATTCTAAGCCAAATAGTACCCGAAAAATATTAGATACAGCAATAAAATTTCAAAAGAAGGTCACTGTGACCTACTTTTCAGTTGTTGTACTCCAAGGACCCAAGATGCATCAACTGATAGTACAAATACCTTTTCTGCTTAAACTTTCAGTAAGGTGTGACATTCTCGGCGATACATAATTAGCGTCTCAAATAGTGACCTAGATTCTCATTGGTTGCCAGATTAGCTCATCAATACTGAAATTTACACAGCTTTTCATTCACGGGTGAAATACACATGGGATTAAAATGAGTCAGAGTCAACGAGTGATGCAAGGAACCAATTACATCGTTTCTTACAGTAAAGAGGTGTGGCTTATGTAATCTTATTGTTTGTTAACAACAACCTAAAGTTGCTAATGTTGTTAATTTCTTAACCAATGAGAATCTAGGTCCCTATTTGAGAGAACTCTAATTATATATCGCCAAGAATGTCACGCCTTACTGAAAGTTTAAGCAGAAAAGAGATTTGTACTAAAGTTTGATGATTCTAAGCCAATTAGTACCTGGAATATATAATTAAAGCCATAAATTTTCTAAAGTAGGTCATGGTGACCTACTTTTCAGTTATTGTACTCTGAGGACTCAAGATACATCAACTGACAAAGTTTGATGATTCTAAGAATTAGTACCCAAAATATTTATTTAAAGCCATAAATTTTCAAAAGTAGGTCATGGTGACCTACTTTTCAGTCGACCTACTCCGAAGACCCAAGATGCATCAACTGACAAAGTTTGATGATTCTAAGCCAATTTGAAATATTTAATTATAGTCATATAAATTGAAAAGTGTCACAGTGACCTACTTTTCAGTTGACGTTTTTTGACCAAGATGCACCAACTTACAAAGTTTTATGATCATAGGCCTTAAAATGTCCAAATTATGCCTCTAAAACGCTTTAGAATCAAATGCCTGCAAAGTTCAAAAAGTAGGTCAATGTGACCTACTTTTTAATAAATATATTTTATGGCCCCAAGATGATCATCTTACAAGATTTAATGATTCTAAACCTCTCAGTATACGAATTAATGACCTCAATTGTTTTGAAAAAGATTAGCCATAAAATTCAAAAAGTAGGTCAATGTGATATTTATAGTTTATTGATAGTAATTCATCCACTGTCAAACAGATGACCTCAGTGTGAACATACTATGTACACTTTTAGCTTAAGCCAAACATTCATTCTTCTTTTGTTTCTATATATATAACATTCTTTCTTGTATTCTCAGTCAATCAAATAACCTGTTAATTAAATTTTATAAAAGGATTTCTTGATCAACACAATCTAGCAAAGGGAAGGAACTCTCATTTACTTCCCTTATTACAATTGAGTACTCTGTTTGCCTCCTAGAGAAAAGGCACATTTACTTACGATAATATTTAATACATTTACATTGATATTATTGCATTTAGCTTGTTTGCTAAGTACTCAGAGGCAGAGGAGAAGATTTTCGAAGTATTAATGCATTTTTGCTAATTAATCAATAGAGCCCCACCAAAGCACCAGAACCCCTGACCCAGGGGGCCATGAAATTTACAATTTTTGAACAGGTCGAGGAATCTACCTTATATGGATATTGTTGTCATTGCGCACAGCGGTGCTCACAGCAAACAATGGTCCAATCCAGTGAATGAGCCGAAAAGCATTCACAAAGTCTTCACAAGTAGATGAGATTCCGATTTTTTTGATATTCTTAAATTTTCCATGCTACTGGAGTTATTCATTGTTGCTTTGTTATTTGTTTACAAGAAATTAAAAGTTAATGCATTTATAAAAAACGTAAGTTTATTGCTGTACGGCATTTATTTTAAACAGTATTAATTCTCATGTACATTGATCATAGAACGTGTATTGAGTAGCATATATATCGAAGTTGTATACGTTGTAAAGAATGACAATAAATGAGTACACCTCAGAGTCGATTGTTATTGTTTTGGACCAGCTGGGAATAGCCATGTGAAATTCATATTCACTGATAGTACAGCGCAGGAAAAGCTGCCAGGCAATTGTCAACAAAGGAACTTGTACAATGGCGTGGAGAAAGCCCAAATTTTACCTTTGTAAAACATTTGACAATGTATGTAAATGTGAGCATGGAATAATGATGTACATATTGTATCAAGTGTGTAAAAATGCTTCATATGCTTCAAATGCATCATATCTTTCCAAGAGCGATTTGAAAAACTGGCCTTTTCCAAATGTACATGTTGTATTTTTTGTAGTAACCCATAATGCAACTCATTTAGCTGATTGGTCAGTTTGACAGTCACGTTGGTGCCTCATTTAGCATGTAAATTTATTCTGACATCACAGAAAATAGTTTCCTCGACCTGTTGAAGAGGCACTCTTTTTCATAATTACTATGTACTTAGTTTATCAGCTTAATACCATGAGCAGAGGAGCAGATTTTCAAAGAATTAATGCATTTTCACTATATAACCATTAGAGCCCTGCCCTAACGCCAGAACCCCTGACCCTGTGGTCATGAAATTTATAATTTTGCAAGAGGCACTTTTTCTCATCATAACTATGCATATTGTTTGTTTGATCAATACCCAGGAGAAGAGGAGAAGATTTTTTGAGAAATACTCATTTTTACTATATATTCAACAGAGACCCGCCCTAGCACCAGAACCCCTGACCATGGGGCCATAAATTTTACAATTTTGGTTGAGGGCTCAATGCTTATTACAATCATGCCAACAGTTTGACTGCTTGATGTTCAGGAGTAAAAAAGATTTTAAAAGATTGCATTAATTTTAGTGATTTTAGCCCCACCCCTCAGGCCCCAGGGGGTTAGGGACCATGAAATTCACAACTTTTGTTCCCCTTCAACCATAGATGCTACATGCCAAAATTGGTTGAAATTGGTTGAGCGGTTTCAGAGAAGAAGCTGAAAATGTTCAAATGTTAAAGCACAATGCATGATGCACGACGCCAGATGAAAACAGATAGCAATAGGTCACCTAAGTAAACTCAGGTGACCTAATAAAAATGAATGATTAAATTTTGTTTCAATATCAAAATTATTTCAAAAGTTATAAAAATTTGAAATTTCGACTTACAGTAAGTCTTCTCAGTTTATGGTCTTGAGACCTGTTTAAGACACTATGACATTCAGTGTGTTGTTTTATCTTGATTGGGTATGCTTATTGACAATATCATTACCCTGGCATCATCAATTCCTGTAATGGAGGCTTCAGGTCTATCTAAAACAAGGAAGGCAGCTAGGTTAGCAGTATAAGATGCCACAATGATCATGGCAAAGCCTGCCCAAACCATACCAAGAACTCTAGCACTGAAACTCCTGGGGGTTCCTGTGTAAATCCAAAAAAAAAAAATGATTAAAGATGTTAAAGAAATTAATGGAACATCATTTCTTAATAATTACATCATTGAATATTTTCTCTTTTATTTCTTATGAAAACCAAATTGCTATTTACTTACTTATTTAAAAGGCAATAAATACAATTTACTTCTTTTAAACTAGCTAAATCTGTTAAGGCCATCAGTAACTCCAAATATGAAAGAAATGTTAATGATCATATCTTTTGAAATTATTTTGATAACACAACAAAATTTACATCAAATGTTTATACTGGAATATTATACAAACCTGCAAAATTTTAAGTATGTATGTTAAACAAGAGGCCCAAGGGCCTTAACAGTCACCTGAGTACAACAATTTAGAGGATCCATAAACTGATAAATGAAGCTATGATTATGATTAGGATCAACAAAATAATTGATCTAGTATCTATCTGTCCCCCATTTATCACTAATACCATGCAGACTATTAACAAAATATCTATTTTTTAACCCCATATTGTTACCTCTCACATTGGTCTCTCTTGGCCTTTGAAGATCATTTAAAAAGATAAGTTAATTTTGTCTCATTTTATTCATCTATTATTTCCAAGTCTACCTGATCATTAAAACAATGAAAGTACTTTTTGCATTATACAATAAAAGTTCTTGCATAATTCTCTTATTCTATTTACCTTTCAAGTACATTATCTACAGTGATAAATTATCAAAAGTAAATGGCAAAGGGGAATAACTCCTCTCAGTAGAATATAAACTAATAGAGCCCTGGCCAGGACCAGAACACTTGTCCAAATGGTCCAGATGTTCAAAAATCAGGTAAAAATTCCCTTCCTTATAAAAACTTTTACTCTGTTTGCTTCAGATATGCCCAGGTGCGGCAAAGATTTTTAAAGAAATAGTGCATTTTTACTTCAGATTCACTGTATTATCAATAGAGCCCCCCCCCCCCCCCCCCCCCCCTCCGAAACACCAGAGCTTCAACCCTGGGACCATAAGTTTGCTCATCATAACTAATCACTTTGTTTATCTGCTTCACACTAACACTGCCCCACCCTCACACCAGCACATCTGACCCAGGGGTCATGAAATTCACTACTCTGGAAGAAGCACTCTTGCTCATCATAACTATACACTTAGCTTCTTTGCTTTTTTAACCAGAAGCAGAAAAGAATATTTTTCAAAGAAATTTAGCTTTTTCACTTTTCACTTTGGGGTCATAAAATATAAAATTCACAATTTTGGGAGAGGCATCCTTGCGTATCATAACAATGTACTTAGTCTGTTTAAACAATACCCAGGGGCAGAGAAGAAGATTTTCAAAGAAATAATTCACCTTCACCATAGGATCTATATAGCAGTGCCCTAGCACCAGAACTCCTGTCCCCGGGGCCATGAATTTCACAATTTTGCAAGAGACACTCTTGTTCATCATAACTATGTACTTAGTTACTGAATTTAATACCCAGGAGCAGAGAAGAAGATTTTCAAAGAATTAATGCATTTTCACTTTATAATCAATACAGCCCCACCCTAACACCAGAACCCCTGACCCAGGGGCCATGAAATTCACAATTTGGAAGAGGCACTCTTGCTCATCCTAACTATGTACTTAGTTAGTTTATTTAATACCCAAGGGCAGAGAAAAAGATTTTCAATGAATTAATGCATTTTCACTATATAATCAATAGAGCCCCGCCCTAACACCAGAATCCCTGACCCTGGGGCCATGAATTTCACAATTTTGGAAGAGGCACTCTTACTCATCATAACTATATACTTAGTTAGTTTATTTAATACCCAGGAGCATAGAAGAAGATTTTCAAAGAAATAATGCACCAGATGCCCTGACCCTGGGGCCATGAATTTCACAATTTTGGTAGAGGACTCAATGCTTATTACAATCATGCCAACAGTTTGACTGCTTGATATCCAGGAGTAAAGAAGAAGATTTTATAAGATTGCATTAATTTTGGTGGTTTTAGCCCCACCCCTCAGGCCCCAGGGGGGCAAGGACCATGAAATTCACAATTTTTGTTCCCCTTCACCCATAAATGCTATATGCCAAATTTGGTTTAAATTGGTTGAGCGGTCTCAGAGAAGAAGCTAAAAATGTTCAAATGTTAACACACATTGCACGACGACGGACAAAAACGGATAGCAATAGGTCACCTGAGTGACTCAGGTGACCTAATAAAACTCAAGATATTCAAAATCAGAATTTTGACCTAAAGTTCTGTTCTCATTTTATGGTCTCGAGGCCAGTTTTGTCCCACCTGAAACTGGATTTCTGGATTCATGTGACAGAAGGTTTACAGGATTCGTTAATCATTATAACATTCATGAACCTTATCTTCTAGAAGTTTAGGAGTAAAGAAGGTATGGAATAGTGATAATAAATTTCAATAAATGACCAACTTAGCCAACTGTGGGGCCCAATACTTGTCCAAATGGACAAGTAAGGAAAAAAAAGTTGAGTCCTGGAAGCTTTAATCTAATTTAGCAGTTCTAGCACAGTTTTTATCCTGCTCTATTTTCATTTAATAATTTTCCTTTGGAAAGGGACATGGTCCTTCATATTTGAACAACTGAAAGCAGAATTCCCATATCTAAGGATGTACTATTGTAAGTTGGTTGGAACTAGCCCAGTATTTTTGAAAAGTTTAAAATGACATTAAGAAAAGTTTATGCGCAATGTATGGCACTCAGATGAAAACAGACAGCAAAAGTAATGGTAATTTCTACATAATATACATAGATTGTAGTGGTTTAACATCCACTGTATAAATAATGCCTACTCTCTTTAATACCCCTGTACAATAAGTGTCTAGTCTTCTCCAATACAACGTCTTCTTCAATACAACAGTAAAATATTAATTTTCTACCTTCTCCTATTCCGCTGTTCAGGAGGACTCCCCATGCAAACCACATGGCACTTGACAAATTCAGGGCATCCTCTTCAGTGTCATTATTTTTGGCCAGCTTAAACCGACCAAATGGACTGAACCTGTCCAGGAGGTAGAGAACCAGTGCAACCACATGTACAGACAGCGCCACCAAAATCCAAAGTGTGTCCTCAAAAGGTTGCAGGAATGAGTCCAATTTAGACTCTGTGGCTGTCTATACAATAAAATTTAATAACATCACATATAAGACATAATACAAATATGAAAGGAATGCATTGAGATGATATATACAATAGGCCCATGGGCTACACCTGAGCACCTTGGCAGGAAAAAACAGAAATCAGTTCAGTATTGAAAAGTTAAAATATATAAGTGGTCCAAAATTACCCCCCAATGGAGGGAGGGGGCATGATTTGATCAAACTTGAATCTACACTTACTGAGAATGCTTCCATATTTCCTTGACTAATCATGGCTTTTGAAGAATTTTCAAGATTTTTTCCTTATACGTTTCATCTTCTATTGTGGCCCACCCTACCCCTGGGGGACATGATTTGAACAAATGGACAGACAGACAGACATCCCCATCATTATATATCCCCACTTTTCAAGCAGGGGAGGGGGGTATAAATACTGGTACACAACTTTTTTTATATGTTACAGATTATTCAGGGGGAAAAAACTCATCAAAATCCAAAACAAAAAAGTTCATTACCGTTTTTACAAAAATAAGAATTCAAAAGACTCTTGAATGCAGATATTCCAGAAGCATTTCTAATATAGTCTGGCAAGTTATTCCACTGTTTAAATGTTGATGGAAGGAAACTCCATGTATGATGTAGTTCTAATGTGAGGAATTTTGAATTGTGCTTCACTGGTTCTGAGGTTATAGGAGTGATTTGATGGATGATAATGTTTAATCAAATCATACGAATATTGAGGTGAATAGCCATTTATAATTTAAATTTGTAAAATAATATCAAGAAGTAAGTAAGATTTTGCCTTAATTGTGCACTAAAAATTTATTGTTTACAAAAAATTTTAGAACTAGCTTAAATATGAGTTGAGTATATGCACCGGGTAGAACGGTACATTCGGGGTGGCGGCAATGCGTGACTCGGGGTGGCGGCACCGAGGCGAGGAAAACATCAACACCGTGAGTAAATCTGAATTTTTTTCATATGTTTAGACGTGTTAGATCAGAAAATTGTATTCTACGGAAGAGAGCAAATATCAACCTACCTCTGACCGTTTAAAGCAGCCTATAAGAGTGCTCCGTTTTCTCAAACACTCCTCCTCACTTTTTGGGGTATCAACGTTTTTGACTTTTGACACAATATTCTGTTTCAAAATCGACCTCAGAAGGGTTTTTTCCTTATATCTTAAACAGTAATAAAGTAATACGATAGAATAAACTTCTATCCTACTTTGTAAGTCAATATATTTTACTAATTAAGCCAATTTTGCCTTCAAACTCGATGCGACGCTCGGGGTGGCGGTTTCTGTGTCTTGCGGGGTGGCAGCATGTATGAGAAATAGGGATTATTTTTTCATGCAGCGTTCTCCTTAGTTAGAATAATCTAACTGTGTCTCGGGACAGGCCCACACCACAGTTAGAATGCCTCCCATATATCCGTAATGTAGCAGAAAATTGCAGAATCGCTCCTAAATGATTTTGGAGAAAATTAATGAAGTTGCATTGAAAATAATAGTCAAATTATTCATAACAAACCTTTTTGAGACTGTCAATACCTTTCATCTAAAAATTTAATCCATATAATGGAAGAATTCAACACTTTTTCACCAACGTTTTTTTCTCGTTTCAAATTTACACACCATGTTGACATTCGGAACTCTCGGGATTTTTCATAGTAAATGCACTGAGTTAGAGTTATCTCCGGTACTTTCTTTGCTACATAGACAATACACGAAACGCATTCTATCGTTAAACCGGGTCCGTAGGACATTTATCATTTTAACGATAGAACATTCTATCTACATTCTCCTGGACCCCTTTCGAGACAAAAAAAGATTCAGATCTCTTAGAAGAATTAACATTATGTCATGGTACGATGTTATTTCGCTATACATGTGGCTATGTCAAACTTTAAGAAGCATATTTTTTATAATTTAAAGACCGGAATGAACAAGGAATGGGCACTATATAATGATAGTAGTGCGTTGCTAATATTGGTATTACTTTATACAGTTCCTACATTTAAGTTTTGAACAGAAGTCCAAGTTAAGCAGAATAATCAAGATAATTACAATCAATGTTTATATACACATATATACTGTATATTAGCAAATAATCACGATGGTTTAAATTTCACTATGTTCGCGATTCATCATTTTTCCGCAAAATTAAACCTATCGTGAATGCTGCATTAGTTTTTAAAAACGTTTAAATGCGTATACAATATTTAAATCAATTTCTTGCATCATGAAATTAAAACCATTGCGATTGGTACTTTTTGAGAAATCGTAAAATTTTAACACCGTGGAATTAAAACGACTTACAGTAAATCCTTGTTGTTGTCCCTATAATAAAAAACAACTGAATGACTGCATGTTAAATTATTAATTGTGATAATCCGCTTACTCGGGACATATGTTCAAAGCCGAAAGATTGGAGTTTTAAAAAGTAACAAAATAATTATATTGTGGGTGTCAACTTTTTCCATGAAACCCCCTGTCTTTTTCTTTAAAAGATTTCTTATTTTTTCAAAAAATATATATAATTTTATCCCTGACCTGTGATACACATAAATCGACAATTTTAGTTTAGTAGGAACCTGTCTGGAAAATGATGTATACAGGAATACCGCAGATCAGAAAATGGGCAAACCCACAATATAATTATTGTGTTACTTTTTAAAACTCCTATCTTTCGGCTTTGAACATATGTCCAGACTAAGCAGATTATCACAATTAATGATTTAACAACAGTCATTCAGTTTTTTTTTATTGTGGTGACAACAACAAGGATTTATATATGTCACATAATTACAATCAATGTTTATATACACATATGTGTATAAAAACATTGATTGTAATTATCTTGATTATTCTGCTTAACTTGGACTTCTGTCCAAAATTTAAATGTAGGAACTGTATAAAGTAATACCAATGTTAGCAACGCACTACTATCATTATATAGTGCCCATTCCTTGTTCATTCCGGTCTTTAAATTATAAAAAATATGCTTCTTAAAGTTTGACATAGAAATAACATCGTACCATGACATAATATTAATTCTTCTAAGAGATCTGAATCTTTTTTTGTCTCGAAAGGGGTCCAGGAGAACGCTGCATGAAAAAATAATCCCTATTTCTCAGACATGCTGCCACCCCGCAAGACACAGAAACCGCCACCCCGAGCGTCACATCGAGTTTGAAGGCAAAATTGGCTTAATTAGTAAAATATATTGATTTATAAAGTAGGATAGAAGTTTATTCTATCGTATTACTTTATTACTGTTTAAGATATAAGGAAAAAACCCTTCTGAGGTCGATTTTGAAACAGAATATTGTGTCAAAAGTCGAAAACGTTGATACCCCAAAAAGTGAGGAGGAGTGTTTGAGAAAACGGAGCACTCTTATAGGCTGCTTTAAACGGTCAGAGGTAGGTTGATATTTGCTCTCTTCCGTAGAATACAATTTTCTGATCTAACACTTCTAAACATATGAAAAAAATTCAGATTTACTCACCGTGTTGATGTTTTCCTCGCCTCGGTGCCGCCACCCCAAGTCACGCATTGCCGCCACCCCGAATGTACCGTTCTACCCGGTGATATGACTTTGATAAATCATGGACCATTCTGGAAAAATGACATCATTATTTTGATACATTTCTCTGTTTTAAACAGAAAAAGCCTCAAAATGACCTAATTCAAGGGTTATTTTCCTTAAGAAAATAGTGTCCACAGCCGTTGCCCACTTAAATTTTTTGGATATGTTGTGAAAAATTCTTTGAAACATCACATTTCTCAAAATCTTTGTGGGCAATGCATGTGGACTATATTATATGAAAGATAATTCCACTGAAAAGTGATGTCTTCTACAACTCAAGAACATAGGTAATCAAAGATTACGAAGCTCACCTCGATGATTGTTATCTATAAGTAAGGCAAATCTCACATCATATTTAGTGTACATCCCAAGATTAATATCCATCAATATTAGATTCAGAATCCAAAGCAAGTCTGGAAGTGTTCATCTCTAGATACATCATCATCCATGCTAATTTGGTTAAAATATGGCTAAAATTCACTCATGTGGAAAATCTAGGTCAGATCCAGAATCTGAAGCAGGTTAGTTAGTGTACATCCCTAGATGCATCATCCATGCAAGTTTGGTCCAGGTAGGGCTTACAGTTCCTATGGAATGGACCTGCTCGAAAAACTTCAACCTGGTCACTCATCTGGAAAATCTAGGTCAGACCCAGCTTCCAAAACAAGTATAATAGTGTCCATTCCCAGATGCATCATCCATGCAAGTTTGGTCAAGGTACGGCTTATAATTACTTGGGAATGGACCTGCTCCAAAAACTTTAACCTAGTCAACAAATCTGGAAAATCTAGGTCACATCCAGCATCAGAACCAAGTGTGGTAGTGTCCATCCCTAGATGCATCATCCATACAAGTTTGGTCCAGGTAGGGATAGTTACTTGGGAATGGACCTGCTCCAAAAACTTTAACCTGGCCACTCATTTGGAAAATCTAGGTCAGATCCAGCATCCGAAGCAAGTGTGGTAGTGCCCATCCCTAGATGCATCATCCATGCAAGTTTGGTCCAGGTAGGGCTTATAGTTACTTGGGAATGGGACTTGCTCCTAAAACTTTAACAGGGACGCCGATGCCAACGCTGGGGGTATAGCATACATGTAAGCTCATCTCGACTTGGTCGAGGTGAGCTAAAAATACATGAAAATGCACAAGTTCATGACATCATAGTTAGCATTTAAGATCAGGTGAGAAAAACAATTTGTATGTTTTTACTGCATGGAAATTCAACAATTCAGAAAGCATGAGTTTTAATTTCTGACATCACTTTCATATTTAAGAAAAATACAATTTTGCAACACAGTAGGATCTTTGACGATCAGAAATTTGTCTTACTGAAATTTTAATCAAACAAATCTACTGTCTTGCAATTTCTAATGCAGAGCACTTGATTGTCTCTTAATTAGGGTACATTGTCTTGATTCACCCTGTATTATGAATTACATGTACAGGCCAAGATCTATCGTATAGTCGAACGTCCCTCTGTAGACCTTATGCATGAAGGAACAAAGAAACATCATTTTTTTTCACATGTCCATGTAATCGTATCATTGCTTGTTGAATTTTTAATAATATTTAGATACTTAAAATTAATTACATGCATATCTTTACTTAGAACCACGTCTCTAGAATTATGTTGCCACTGTGACTGTGAGTCAAACATCATACCATAATCCTTTATTGATGTATAGTTGAAGTAGTAAAGACACCCCTAAAAATTTTTTACTATAATTCTAAAGTTTCTATTTTAAATTCAAAAACTTACCAGTAATATGATTAAATTACAAAAATCATGGCAAATGTACTTTTAAGGACCCTCTCTACACTAAACGAAAATGTTTTTCGGACATTGAGAAAATTATATTGTATAAAGGTGTAAATACTGAGCTTATTTATATCATTTTCAACATAGGGTGCCTGGCTTTACTCCCCAGGAAAAATGTTCAGATTCAACAAAGTTTTGATGAACAGAAATCACTGTTGTTTACCTAAGTGGGGAAAAAGCATGTAGATGAGGTGTTCAATGAATTTATATTGGCCTTTCAAAATGTTAAGAATGCTTGAATTAATTGATAAACTCTAGATTTCAATTTATTTCATTTTAGTTCTAAGGGCAAACTAGAACTGTCCAAAAGGGACAAATACCCCCCACTGGGTTTTTCAGAGAAGGTACCAAATCACTGTTTTCTAGATGTGAGAGGTGTTCACAATTTGCTTAAACATTTAGAGTGATATTTTTTTAATGAATAAAACTAATGTGCAGCCTAATAAAACATCAATACTAATAATTACAGTGTTTTTTATTACATTGATAAAATAGTTTGCAACTATCTGTCATCTCTGCAAATTGATTGTTGAAAAAAAAATATCATAATTAATTATACAAAGTCAAATTGATCTTAATACATTTATATCAAACTCATTTTAAAAATAAAAGGCTGGTTTCAGTAACTATGTATTTTGACAGACATAAATTACAATATTAAGAGGCTTAGACAACAGAGATCTTTATTTCTTTCTCCCCAGTTCTCAGGAGATATAGATAAGACCTGCTTAATCAGAGATGCCCTAACAGCTTCCCACACTGAACTCATTAATTAATCTTTAACTGGATGCATGTCCACTCATTACTCCAAAGGGACAAATAGATTTACACTATCTGCTGTGTACTGTAAAAACTGTTTTTAATATTTTGTGATTTTTTTTTTAGTTCTGATGAGTAGTTTTCAGCTGTAGTTCACATTTTTGTACAGATGTTCTAGATTCTATGTCTCAAACCTTAGACATGAACCCGAAATGACTAAGTCAATAAAAATGAAAAAAAAAAACACCTGTAAAATGCAGAAAAATTATCAAATAATGTTGAAAATACCAGGTGCACATCTTCATATGGTAAATAATAAGTGTACAGATTTTCATACAGATCTATGCAATAGTCTCTGGGAACAGATCCGAGTTATAAGAGTGAAAATTTAATTACTCATTATATTTTTTTTTAATGAATGAAATTAAGGTGCAGCCTTATAAAACATCAATACTTATAATTACAGTGTTTTTTATTACATTGAAAAAATAGTTTGCAACTATCTGTCATCTCTGCAAATTGATTGTTGAAAAAAAAAATCATAATTAATTATACAAAGTCAAATTGATCTTAATACATTTATATCAAACTCATTTTAAAAATAAAAGGCTGGTTTCAGTAACTATGTATTTTGACAGACATAAATTACAATTAAAAGGCTTAGACAACAGAGATCTTTATTTCTTTCTCCCCAATTCTCAGGAGATATAGATAAGACCTGCTTGATCAGAGATGCCCTAACAGCTTCCCACACTGAACTCATTAATTAATCTTTAACTGGATGCATGTCCACTCATTATACTCCAAAGGGCATAATAGATTTACACTATCTGCTGTGTAATGTAAAAACTGTTTTTAATATTTTGTGATTTTTTTTTTTAGTTCTAATGAGTAGTTTTAAGCTGTAGTTCACATTTTTGTACAGATGTTCTAGATTCTATGTCTCAAACCTTAGACATGAACCCGAAATGACTAAGTCAATAAAAATGAAAAAAAAAAAAAAAAACCCTGTAAAATGCAGAAAAATTATCAAATAATGTTGAAAATACCAGGTGCACATCTTCATATGGTAAATAATTAAGTGTACAAATTTTCATACAAATCTATGCAATAGTCTCTTGGAACAGATCTGGACAGAACCACATAATAAAAATGAAAAAAAAACACCTGTAAAATGCAAAAAAATAATCCAATCATGATGAAAATACCAGGTGCACACCTTCATATGGTGAATAATAAATGTACAAATTTTCAGACAAATCCTTGCAACAGTTTCCAAGAAATGGTTCGGACAAAATCTCATCTACAGACAGATGGACAGACAGACGGACATGCTGATTCCAATATACCCCCCCTAAACTTCGTTTGCAGGGGGTATAATTACTCTAACAACATAAAAATACCACAGAATCAGAACTCTTAAGTGGGCAGTGTATAGAGGACTCTTAAGGATGGCAAGTAGTTTCGATTATATTGACCAGAATTTCCTCTGCTCTTCAATGCATGTTTATAAAATATGAAGTTATATAATAATATGAACATAAAAACATCAGGGTTCTATACTTACAACATGTAGATACTAATACAATTAAGTATACTATTAAGTTTTTTGTTTTTAATTGTACTAATGGTTTTTTTTTCAAGTTGCATAAGAATGTGTGTGTGTGTGGGGGGGGGGGGGGGGGGGGGGGGGGGGGTTACAGATTGTTTGTGTTATAGTATCCCAAGTTATTATGTTATTATATATTGGAGACATTCTAATTGTTTTCAATATCCATTAGTTCATTTTTTACTAATATGCAGGATCACACCATTTGTGTATCGAATTATTGATACAAAAAAGTTGTGTGTGGGTGTATGCTTTTGTAATTATAATGAATAGTGGTTCCGTTGCAAATTTGATCGCGAAAATACCACGAATATTACTGCTTCACAAAAGTCTGCAACACAGTTAAATTTCAAATGATGGAGAACCCTGATGAAACCCAACCATTCAAAAGTTCTGGGCAAGGTTAAAGTTTTTGTCCCACATATATATTACAGTACTGTTACTGAATTTATCCTTTTTGGCTGTCGAAGAACTGTCTTTTTAAACTTGCTTATCATATAATGGTAATGCCTCATAGCAGCATGTTTTAGTAAATATTATACGACTCAAGGTTAACAGGGTTAGACACTAATGTTAGTCCATTTAGTCTTGAACTAAAAAATTTCATTCGGACAAATAAAATCTCTGGCCCATTAGTTCGAATAGACCAAAAACTAAAATTTCTGGAAAACAATGTGAATAAATTACCAATGTCCAATTCTCGACAACTTTTTCTGGAAAACCCGGCATGTATTTTTAGCTTTCTAATTTCTGGCCTGTAGTTGGGCTATTCTGAGTCAATTCAGTGCTCAATTTTAGACTGATTGAAATGAGGAACAATGTTTTAGTGATCATGATTAAGTATGACACATAGAAACATATTGGACATTTTGGATGTAATGTATGGAGAATGAGATCGGGAATACAATCCTACTTGCTGGTTGTGAGATTTCAACGAATCTGTGGAATATGAAACACTTCCTGTAAATGCTTTGTTCATAAAAACGTATAAAAAGTACATTGTAATGTTTAATAAATCGTTACAAAACATTGATGTTTCCTTTTTCAAAAGACTTGTTAAAAAGCCTGCGGACTAATGAAAGTAAAGAAGCACTGTTGAACCCTGGGTCAAGTAAGGAATCTAAAAAAAATTTTTCTAGAAAGTAATCAAACTTTTTGGACAGTAATAGCAAGTTGATAGCAAACATGTGCGTGAGATGAATGAAACTGTAGAGAAGTGTACAAGTTATAACAATAACATTTTAAAGATAAACCTTTCTGACAAGAATGGTCAGGCCCTGGTACTTGAATGGCTTAGAGAAGTCGATGCGGCCAGCCCTCTCTGGGTTTATTGTCAGTGGAGCTACAATCATGTCTGCTTCTTTATCAATGAGTTCAGCTATGATACCATTCCACTTCTTCTCCCCTGTCTTATTCACCTGTAATCAATAATTATACTGTTAGGACTAGCTCCTATTATACCAGCCTACACCTGAAATCAGTAACAATAATTATACCCGCACTTTCTAAAGAAAGTTCGGGTATATTGTTGTTACTCATGTCTGTCCGTCCGTCCGTCCGTCTGTCACACTCTTATTTCTCAAACTCCTCTTAGATTTTACACAGTAGCCTAATCATCTTTTGGGAGATGTTTGGTGGTGTCATGTAGATGTGCAGTAAAGTTTCGGAATTTTCATTTTCACCCTGGGGGTCAAATGGGGGTCGAAAAATGACGTTTTTTATGCAAAAAAGCCCCTGGTTCCCTGAACTCCTCTTACATTTTACACAGTAGCCTAATCATCTCTTGGGAGATGGTTAGTGGTGTCCTGTAGATGTGCAGTAAGGTTTCGGAATTTTCATTTTCACCCTGGGGGTCAAATGGGGGTCGAAAAATGACGTTTTTTATGCAAAAAGCCCCTGGTTCCCTGAACTCCTCTTACATTTTACACAGTAGCCTAATCATCTTTTGGGAGATGGTTGGTGGTGTCATGTAGATGTGCAGTAAGATTTCGGAATTTTCATTTTCACCCTGGGGGTCAAATGAGGGTCGAAAAATGACGTTTTTTAGGCAAAAAGCCCCTGGTTCCCTGAACTCCTCTTACATTTTACACAGTAGCCTAATCATATTTTGGGAGATGGTTGGTGGTGTCATGTAGATGTGCAGTAAGGTTTCGGAATATTCATTTTCACGATGGGGTCAAATAGGGGTCGAAAAATAACGTTTTTTATGCAAAAAGCCCCTGGTTCCCAGAACTCCTCTTACATTTTACACAGTAGCCTAATCATCTTTTGGGAGATGGTTGGTGGTGTCCTATAGATGTGCAGTAAGGTTTTGGAATTCTTATTTTCCCCTGGGGGTCAAATGGGGGTCAAATTTTTTTTTTAAAAATATGTTTAAACATCCTGGTTCCCAGAACTTCCCTTATATTTTATGCACTAGACTTAAATCATGATCATTTGGAAGATGATTGATTTTGTCCTGTGGATGTGTAAAATGGTTTTAAAATTTGCATTTCCATGTGGATAGCAAATAGGGGCAGGAAAAAAATGGCCCCTCCCTAACCCATGGGGTCATGATTTGTACAAACTTGAATCTACACTTCTTGGGAATGTTTCCATATTAATCATGTTTTTTTTGTTCTTAAAAAGAAGAATTTTGAAGATTTTTTTTCCTTTTAAATCTCTATAAAACTTTGATCCCTTATTGTGGCCTGACCCTATCCTCGGAGGTCATGATTTGAAAACTAGAAATATGTCCATAGGACATAAATGCCCCGCTGAATGTATATTACTAATGCAACATGAAAATTTGTATGAGTGTATGAAGTTTGATGAGAATATCTTGAACAGTTTCTTTAAAATTGATACTAAAATCTAATAAAAATGGATATAGATGATAAATTCTCACAAAATTATGTATAAGTGCATGCTTACATAAAAATATCTTAGATTGTTTCTTTAAAACTAAGCAAAATACAAATTAAAGAGAAGGGAGGTCAAGGTCACAGGAAAGTGCAAGGTGAAAAGTTTTTGCTGCAGTTGAATAGCTCTCACTAATACATATCAGCATATTAGGTTTGATAAAAATATCTTGAATGATTTATTTAAAACTGAGCTTAACACTCATTTGAGAAAAGAGAGGTCAAGGTCAAAGGAAAGGTTGAGGTCAAAATGCTGATGCAGTTGAAAAGCTTATATCAGTATGTATTTACTATTAGCATAGAAGTTCAATAAAAATATCAGAAATGGTTTATTTAAAACGTAGATAAACACTAATTTAAAAAAGTGAGGTCAAGGTCAAAGGAAAAGTCAAGGTCAAAAAAGTTGATGCAATTGATATCTCTCAGCAGTATATATCAGCATATGAAGTTTGATAACTGTATCTTGAATTGTTTATTCAAAACTGATCTAGACACTTATTTAAGAAAAGTAAGGTCAAGGTCAAAGGAAAAGTCAAGGTCAAAAATTTTGATGCAGTTGAAAAGCTTACATCAGTATGTATCAGCATATGACGTTTTATTGAAGTCGGACATGACAAACACTATATGCCTCGGCCATATTCATGGCAGGGCATAAAAAACTTGAATCTACACTATATGAGGATGTTTCCATATCAAAATGCCTAACAAGCAAATTCAAAGAATTGTGGCCCCCTGCTTTCCGTGTCCTAGTGGATGGGATGCCATTATTTATGACATATTGTTTCAAATATGCAGGCCTTATCATATGTCATTCAAAAGTAATCACCAAAGTTAAAATTTTTGAAAATTAGGTAAAACATCAAGGTCAAGGGGTAAAACCAGAAGTCTCTGATGAGACTGTAGCTCTACTGGTCTGTTTGTATAACAAAAGAAAAGTAGCACTTGGATTTGAAACATTGCAACATGCAACAATAAATAGAATTATGTATCTTAATGTAGTCTACTTTTGTGACAAGTTATATTGAAATCAAATGAAAACTAGGAGTAGTAGCGTTCTGAAAGTATTTCATGGAAATTTCTATTTTTAGTAACCATGACAACACCATTCACCCAAATAAAAAAAAAAACAGAAATACATATTATGTATCGTAGTGTATTCTAACTGTGTGCCAAATTAGATTGAAATCAGACCAAAATTGTAGGAGGAGTAACGTTTTAAAGGAATTTCAAAGAAATTTCTATTTTAAGTAACCATGGCAACACTGTTCATCGAATTCAAAAACCAATGCAATAAATTATGTATCTTAGTATAGTCTTCTTGTATGCCTAATTATATTAGAAGCAGACTAAAACTGTAGCAGGAGTAGTGTTTTAAAGGAATTTCACAGAAATTTCTATTTTTAGTAACCATGGCAACACCGTCCATTGAATTCAAAAACCGATGCAATAAATTATGTATCTTAGTGTAGTCTACTTGTGTGCCAAGTTATATTGAAATCGGACCAAAACTGTAGGAGGAGTAGCGTTTTAAAGGAATTTCACAGAAATTTCTATTTTTAGTAACCATGGCAACACCGTCCATCGAAATCAAAAACCGATGCACTAAATTATGTATCGTAGTGTAGTCTACTTGTGTGCCAAGTTATATTGAAATCGGACCAAAACTGTAGGAGGAGTAGCATTTTAAAGAAATTTCACAGAAATTTCTATTTTTAGTAACCATGGCAACACCGTCCATTGAAATCAAAAACGGATGCACTAAATTGTGTATCTTAGTGTAGTCTACTTGTGTGCCAAGTTATATTGAAATCGGACCAAAACTGTAGGAGGAGTAGCATTTTAAAGAAATTTCACAGAAATTTCTATTTTTAGTAACCATGGCAACACCGTCCATTGAAATCAAAAACCGATGCACTAAATTGTGTATCTTAGTGTAGTCTACTTGTGTGCCAAGTTATATTGAAATCGGACCAAAACTGTAGGAGAAGTAGCGTTTTAAAGGAATTTCACAGAAATTTCTATTTTTAGTAACCATGGCAACACCGTCCATCGAAATCAAAAAAAACGATGCACTAAATTATGTATCTTAGTGTAGTCTACTTGTGTGCCAAGTTATATTGAAATCAGACCAAAACTGTAGGAGGAGTAGCGTTTTGAAAAATTGTTTACAGACAGACGGACAGACAGACAGACAGACAGACGGACGGACGACGGACACCTTACTATCGCATAAGCTCTTCTGGTCTCTGACCAGTAGAGCTAAAAATCATAGCATGCTTGGAAACATCTTGTTACAGGTAATGTACATGTCAAATATAAAAGTCCTATCTCTTCTCATTCAAAAGTTATAAGGAAATATAACATTTTTGAAAAGTAGGTTAAACTTCAAGGTCAATGTCACAGAGTCAAAAGTCATGATATATTTAGAAAGGTCTTGTCACAGGTCATATACATGTATAATATGAACGCTCTATCTTTTCTCTTTCAAAATGATCATTTAAAATAATGTTAAATTTTTTGAAAAGTAGGTCAAACTTCAAGGTCAAGGTCATGGGTTCAAAAATCATGGTATGTTTAGAAAGTTCTTGTAGGTAATTAATGTACATGTGAAATATGAAAGCCCTATCTCTTATTATTCAGAAGTTATGACCAAGGTTAAATTTATTGTGACAGACGGACAGACTAACAAACAGACAGACTGACAGACAAATGAGATTTAATGTCCCCTAGGTCCCTTTTGTGAATAATAATGCCCTTGCTGTTCATGAGAAGAAGATTTATGATGGAAAAAATCCCCTGCATTTTTCTATGTAAATCATTGGATCCCCATATGTGGCCCCACCCTACCCCAGTGGGTCATAGTTTTAACAAATTTGAAGCTACACTAAGTCTATGTAAAGAAAGTTTCAACTTTTTGGGCCCAGTCAGTGGTTCTTGATAAGACTTTTTTAAAATGATACCACCAAATTTTCACTAATTCTTGATTATCCCCCCTTGAAAGAGGGTGTGATCCTTCACTTGAACAAACTTGAATCCCCTTTACCTGAAGATGCTTTGTGGCAGGGTTGGTTGAAATTGGCCCAGCGGTTCTAGCGAAGAAGACAAAAATGTGAAAAGTTTACAGGCGGACAGATGGATGACAGACAAAATGTGATCAGAAAACCAGAAAAACTCAAGTGAGCTAAAAACTGATGATCACAAGTACTTGGAAAGAGTTACAGTATTTGAAAAGCAGTTTTTTTTTTCATGCATTGTTTTCAGAAGCTGAAAAGGTATGACTTGTATCCATGTTGAAAAAACTTCACATTTCAGAAAACAGTATGATTAAAAATAGTTAATCAAGGTGCTTTGAGTAGCAAAATAAGCTAAACTGGTATAGCTAATTCAACCACAGAGCTTAGTGAATTTTAAAATGCACAACCTTTTCAACTCTTAATCATTCTTAAAATATTTATATCATCATTTCTGATTCAAGGGAGAACTAGAGATATGATCAGAAGTATATCCCTTGACTAATA